TGCTGACTTACTGTGGCTTTGCATTTTGTTCACTATATGAGAATTAAATGATTAACTCAGTGACCTGTAGTAACCAAAGGCTGAGGTTAAAAGTGGATTAGTGAGTTAAGTAGCCACGATTCCTCCATAAAGCTGAGTCTGTCACCTCCTCCTCTGGGCAAAGAATTATGGCTTATATCCTCCTCATCTGTAAGCATCTGTAAAGCTCTCTTTTTTGCTGCTTAAGTAGCGCTTTGGAAAGATACGTGGTATTAATGCTTGTAGTGGATTGCTGTCAGTAATGCTTCTTGAAGAGCTGAGTGCAAATCGACGTGGCTATCTACTTCCGTATCAGGTGAACTGCTTGTTCGTGTAGGAAGTGAGCTCTAGAGATGATGATTCAGGAAAAGCATGACTAGCCATTGGCGAGAAGATGGGTGCAAAAGCATGCTCTCCAGCTGGAAGCCACCTTGCAGCGCCTGGAGTGGCAGTGAGCAGGCTATCTAGGAGCATTAATGAGTTGGAAGTTGTTAAACCTGACACTATGAGAATGGTAGGAATAGGAGAAATTGAAGCATCCTGCTGTTCACCCCCTCATCTCCCGTAAGTACAATGGGAGGCTAATTACAGACACTGATATATGTCTTAAGCCAGGTGACTATTTTAACTGTCCTGGTACTTCATCTTGCACCAGTCAGTGAAAACAGCTCTTTCACATTGTCAGATCTACGCTCAGTGTCTAGCAAAAAGAAAACATAAGGAGTTACTGGGGAAGGAATGAGAAGTATATACTACTCTTTGAACCTGTGATCTGTCATGTTTCAAATAGTTATCACCCCTGCCTTTGTTGCTCCCAACTTAAGAAAGGTACTGTAGACCTGGAAGATGATAGAGAAGTATGATAAGGATAATCAGAGATATGTGGTGACTTCTGTACTGGAAGAGATTAAATAGTCTGAGATTCTTTCACTTCAAAAAGAGATGAGACAGTTGTTAAAAATGTATTAAAAAAATCCTTAGGGAGTGGAGTTTGTGATTAGGGAACCATCATTCATAGGGATCTTTTTCTTTCTGTAAGCACAGAACTAGTGAGGAACACAGGGTGGAAGTTTTGGAATGAAATAATTGTTTGAGCCATAGTTAAATACTGGAACATACTGCTACCAGGCACTATTTATGCCAAAAAATAAAAAATGTTCAATAAGTGTTTAAGTAAGTCCATGAAAGAAAGCTCCATCAAGAGCTATGTGTAATAAAAAGCAGAGAAAGCCTCTGGTTCAATAATCTTTTAACAGCATATCGTGGAAGAATGCATATTGTATATTTACCCTATTGTTAGACTTTTTACCTAAACATCTGTTCTCATTTATTCTGAGACAAGATTGACCATTTTTCTGACTCAGTGCAGCCATAATTATGAGCTTGTAGAGCAGATTTTCAAGTCTTGTTTTTTTCCTTCCAGTCTGTCTTTCTAGGAGAGATTCTTCAACATAGCAGCTGTTTTCCCCCTTTCACGTAGCAGGCAAATAGCTATATGCCAGAGTGGGTCTCGGTAATAACGGTATGGTTTTAAGATAAATTTTTAAGAGGTCAGGGAGAGAACATGTGATCTGTACACTATGGGTTTTAAAAAAATATATATATCTGTACTTCTATTTAGCTTTAAAAAGATGAAAAATGAAAACAGTCCAGAAACCCAAAGAAGTAAAACAAGCACACCGTGGGAGGAAAATGGCCCACAGAGGTAAGGCGAGGGCAATGGTAAATATCATGCCATGGCAGTAGGCTGAAGGATATTAATGTAATGTATTAATGTATTAACAGGGTCATGATAAATCTGTATTGCATATAAGAAGATAGGTCCTGTCATGGATAAATAATCAGTCAAAAATTAGGAAAGTAGCTGTAGGAGGAAGTGGTCAGTGGATGAGTCACCAGTGGCTTTCCACAGAGATCTCTTCATAGACCTCTGCTGTTGGGTATATTTGTCAAAGACCTGGAAAAGGAGTGATAAGATTTGATTATGGCACAGAATTGTTTAGGATAATGAGAGTGAAAGTTGTCTGTGAAGATTGGCAGAAAGTCCCCTAAAATATGAGTGATGAGTCACCAGGCAGTAGATGATGTTGAGGTGGTAAGTGTAAAGAGAGGCAAATAAATAAGGGAAAAAAAATAACCCTGAATTTCTGAGTAAAATGAAGTGCTGTGGAGTAATGATGGATAACTTCATGAAAACATCAACTATGTAGCAGTCAGAAAAACAATGAGCAATTAGGAAAGCAAGAGAACGGCATTATCCCATTAGAGAAATGTGTGGATCACATATTTGCTCCATAAACTGTGAGTGCAGTTCTGATGTCCTTATAAAAGGCTTTTAGAGGGGCAGCAAGGGTAATCAAAGGTGTGAATGGCTATGCAGGAAATGTATACAAGGAGCATAGGCCAGGTGAGACTCTTTCTTCAGTCTGGGAAAGAGATCATTTCAGGGAATGTGGTCTAGAAAATCATGAGTAATACAGAGAAAGGAGAAAGAGATCAGGATTCTATTTTTCTGGCATTAAGAATTTGAGATCTTCAGATGAAGCTTTTGGAGGTGGTTTAAAAGCGTTGAGAAAGGCAGTGAGTAGTGACTCACCGTGAGCAGGAGACTTGTGGTCCTGCTTTAGAAGGGATGCTGGAAGTTAGTGGATTCCTGAGAGAAGCTGGGTGAGTCATGCAAGAGAAGTCCCCAAGGGTTTCTGAAGACAGAGGTGTAGCAGCTGGCTCAGTAAGTCCCCTGGGCCAGGATACCAGCAGACGGAGAGCGCACTGGGGAGCTGTAATACGTATTCAACTTCTTGCTTCCTGTAGGTGGTTGCTTACAGGCACTGTTGAGAACAGGCCACTAAACTAGACGGCACATTAAGTGTAATCCAGTATGGTCCTGCTTTTATGTGATGGTTCACATCTATACATAATGTGTCTTTTGGGGCACCTCGATGATTTACCTTGTGTGCTCCTTCTGTAAACATCAAGAGTTTTCAGAGTAAGGACAAGGCAGTGTGCAAATATTCTCTTGCTACAATAGACGTTTATTTGTGAGTTTTAAAGAAATGGTGTCAGCTTGTCACATTATGGCTCCAGTGTTAAAACTGTTCTCAGAATAGCAGGAAGTTTGATCCCCTAGGAGCCAAAGAATGGTCAGGTTGAGTTTTTGGAAATCCATCTGTTCTAAAGGACTGTGCAGTTTTAGACACATAAGCAGACTGTATACTGCACAGAGGCTTTCACAGCGTCTATTAATAATTCTTATGGAGATGAACTATGGCAGCTTTTCAACTGTGCAGACCAGTGCTGTAATCAGCAGTCTGCAGAAGCAGGTGAAGGAGAATGTATCCAATTTGAAGGCCAGAGGGTTTTAGGAAAGCAGAAAGAAATACATTATCTGGAACTTGGTGAGAATGTCATATTCACTACATAGTTGTTGTGAAAAGGGCTAAGAAATGTTAGCTAAAGATATGTGGTTGAGTTTAGCATCCTTCCTCCAAAAAGTTGTGGAACATCAGTAGACTAGCTTAGAGTTGATATGGACTCCATCGCAGGCTTACACTTCTGTATGAGGGTATCACAGGATAATCTATATACGCATTTCATAGTCTACTTCTAATTCAGGAACAACCCAAGCGATTGAGCCCCATCCAGGCTTAAGTACGTAACCTGATGCTTGAAACACCTCCAGACCATTGGCAGAGGGCTGCGTGGATGAACAGCAGAGAGCTACAGCTAAAATTGTTACACCATCCCAAGCATTACCTCTCTGAAGAAGATGTACGTCACAATAGGAACACCATTTTCATACCTATATCCATGGAAAACATAAAGAACAGAGGTGCATTTGAATGCCTAGTTTCATACTAAAGCACAGAAATTTTATTATGCTGAAAGAGTATGTATATACTTGGTTGTACATTTTGTAAGCTTAGAGCTGTTGGCTTGGCAGTGGTGAGAGGTCTCTCTCCTACATTTTCAAGGTTCAGTGTGAAATATTTAGTGCTGGAAAGCAGTACCATCTATATTTACACAGCACGAACACACACACATGCGTTTATAGCTGAATAAATATATAAGTGTGCATATGTGAGCCTTCTAATTTTTGTAGACTGAATCTCAGATAGCTGACCTACCTCTGCTGAAAGTTTTAAAGGTGACTGTTTGCTTTTCCTTTTTAACCCTAGTGGGCTGTATAATTCTCCCAGTGACCGCAATAAATCGCCAAAGTTTCCTTACTCTCGTCGACGGAACCCATCAGGTGGCAGCGAGAATGAGTCTGGGCAGCCAGTCCGGAGGAGGTAAGAGCATTGGGGTTAATTGCTGTTAGCTTCTCACAGTAGAAGGCTTGAGATCCTGCATGCTCTGTGTTCAGTAAAGGCTCTTGGAGATGCAACTGGGTCCTGGGAAAAGGGGTTCTGTAGGAGCCAGTTGTTAGTCCAAAAAAAAACTCAGCAAGAATACCAGATTTACTTTTGGAAAGGAAGGTTTGGTCAGGCTTTTTGCTGGTGTACTGTTCTGGGTACTAGGAAAATGATGTTGAAAAGATGAGAAATTGCATTATTGACACGTGCAAGATCCTTTTAGTTGCTGCTGCTATCTTTCCCTTGTGAAGGAAAGGATTGATGGATGTTGCTTGCTTGACGATGAGCTTCTAATACAGAGAAGTATTTTGTTTTAAGTACATTGCTTTGCTTTAAGTGTGACAAAGATTAAACGAATGAGCCGTAAAGCTGTCTTCAACAGTCCCGTGTGTGAACTGCTTTACATTAGAGAGGGTGCCAGCAAAAATACAACTATGAGATACTTGATGTGTTTTTAATGGGTACATGCTGAATTGAGTAAGTTAGAGAAGTAAAATTAAGTGGATGAAGATTCTGTTCTGTGTGTCCTGGTGTATGTCCAAAATGCAAATTACAGGAACAGTTCTGAAGAGATACAGTTTTGAGAGACTAGATGTTACCTGGGATGATTTGTCCTGCTAAGAAGCTGATTTCGTCACTAAGGTACCTGGTGCTGTGATCTGCAGTGAAGTATAGACAAGCATAGCTACAGTGCCATGTTGATCGCAGTCTTCTAAGACTGCCTTAGGAGCCAGCACTTTGGAGTTACATCTCCTTCTGACATATCTGAAGTGATTACCTATTTGGCTTTCAAAGACAGGGTTTGCAAAGGAATCTCTGAAGATACAGCTATGTCTATGAGGAAATGTATTTAGATGTGGAGCTTTTATATTTGTGAGGTTTCTGAGCTGCTCCAGACATTTTATCTACCATTAGCTGTCTGGAACAGGAGTGAAGAAGCTCACTCTTGGCATATGCTTAGTGGCCTTATGCCTGAGTAAATCAGTGCAGTCAAATCTCTCTAAGTCAATAGAGTTATGTTGATTTACCCTGTTGGATAAAGCCCGTGTAAGTGTTAATAGCAGTGTGTTTCCTGAATGGGTTTTCTGCTTCATTGCTAGCTTAGTTGTCAGAAGGACTTGTTGGGCTCTGTAAAAACAAAGGAATAGAGAGATGTGTAGTGCAAAACTGTCTTGTACCAAGAAAAGGACAGTGTTTGTGTACTATGCAGTAGGAAAGTTTTTGAGATGCTAGGTGTTTATCATCTGGGATTTGTATTTGGCTGATCTACTGGGTGAACAGGTGGTCAAGTTTTCTCGTGGGCCACCACATCAACAAAATGTTTTTAAAAGTCTTATCTGACCTGTGAGACTGTGAAGACTGACAATAGTAGGTAGATTCTAACCTAATTATGTCTTCCTGAATCTTAGTTTTATTCATGCACTTTCCTTTTTCAACTGTTTAACAACAATAGCTGTGTTGTTTATGTGCTCTTTACTGGAATTAAGAGGAAAATGTCAGGCTTTGCTGGAAGCAGTAGGAAACTCTAAAGGCTAGCATACCGTCCTAACCTTGCAAATCAGGGGTTTGCAGTGAGAGCTTGACTGGGATCATGCCTTCGCAGCTTATTGTAGAGGTGTCCTGAAAAGCTTAAAACAAGCATATGCCCTTTTTTCTCTGCCTTAAATCATATTGAAAAAAAAAACCTTTGTAAAGTTTGTTTTTTATTTAAAAAAAATGGGAGTTTTTGTGTGTTTGCGTTAAGTGACCCGATGGTGTTCATTAAAACTTCCTTAATGTCACAGGAAAAATCAAAACAGTGGCGAAGATTCAGATTTAAAGCAAAGGAGAAGGTAAATATATAATCTATAGCAGCTATGAAATTATAGCAAAGGTACCGATCATATTTTAGTTCCTGCATCCTCTCCTGTTCTTCCTTTGCCTCCGTCTTCTTAAATGTTTAAAAGACTTGTTGTGTTCTGCTTATTTAGTTTTTAATTTCCTATCTTACTTTTACTGAAGCGCTCAGTAGCATAACCTCATCACAGCACAAAATTCCTCCAGGCTGCATTGCACGTTGTTACTACACCATGCTAGTTTGTGGAAGTTTACTAAAAGGCTTGTCTGCAACTTGAAAGTCAGTTCCAGAAGGTTTAGCTTTTTGGATTTTGCATCTGCAGATTTTGTTTCCTGTTCTCCAGCCTCCCAGTCCACTTCTAATTAATCTGGTTTGAAAGCAAGTGTACTATCATTTGAGATTAATTGTCCTGCAAAAGGTAGGTGCAGAGGCATATGCAACTTACAGTCTTGTCACTGTCTTGCACATTTTCAGCTGAATTTTTTCCTAAGCTGCTTTTTTTTTTTTTAATCCTGTGCAGTCTTGACTAGTTGTCACATTTCCAAATAAAATGTTGATGTGAATTCGGGTGTGCCCTTCAATATCTTCAGCTTTTGACAGATTTTTGCATCTGGAGTTCTCTAGTGCCACATCTGCCAGCCATGACTCTGTGCTGTGCTTCTCCTTGCTCGTGTGCTCTTGCCCTGGCTGCTGGAAAAAGGAGACAGTACAGTCCATTTCAATGTCAGAGTCTCTTGAAGCTTTCAAAGGAGAGGAGGCACTCCCAGGATCTGATTCACTGCTGCAGCATGGGAAAGGAGCTCTGGCAGAGATACAAACATCTCAGGGACAATCACAGGAAGTCAGGGAAAGTGCTCATGTAGTTTTCACCTATTATAAAATAACAGATTATTTTTCTGAAGGGTGTTACTGTTACATGCTCCCAGTGATAGTCCCATGGTGCATGTCCAACATATAAAACTGAGAGGATTTAGTTACGTATCTCGGGTGGAAAACCCCAGTGCTCAGAACAGACCTCTTCCCCAAGGCTGTGCCTGCTGTATTACATTACAGCTGTATGTTTTGGGGTTTTTTTTATTGTATATTGGAATAGACCTTCTCCATTTCCTCACAATTTTACTACTTTTCTCTCATTTTAATCAGAAAGGGTCTCTGCACCAGAATATGAGCCTTCTCTGTCAATTGTTTCTCTAAAATACCAAATCCTGCAACCCACCCCCCAGGTCCCCTCCTGGGTTGTATTTGTTCTGTCTCTCTTGCCAAACTGACTATGCCTTCTTTCTTGCCCTTTGCATCAGGCATAGATATACCACCTACAAAATATCACATATATTTGCATGACCAAGAAGACTTGAGAAAAGGATGAAAGGTGCTTTGTAGCTGTCAGAGATGAGGATGATTTTATGTGTTCTTGCACCTGACTTATGAAACCACCTTTGTTTCCATTTTTGGTATTTTATTCAGTTCAGTAAAAGCTGATGTTTAATATTCAGTGAAAGATAGTATTCTGACAGCCAGCGTGAGCAGCTGCCACTCAGCTGACAGCTCAGCAGCCCTGCTGTCTCTCCCCGAAGGGCTTTCCTGACAGGGAACACAAGGTAATGTGATGTGCAGTATCCAAAAGGTGGATCAGATTTCCATTCCTGAAAAGCTAGAGAAAGGCTTATCTTCAATTTGAGCAAATAGGATGTTTTATCTTGTGGTTTTTGCTGCCGTGGTACCTTCTGGGATAAATTGCTTAAATCAGTGTAAGAAAATACTTGAAGTGTTGAGAAATGTAAAAGAACAGAGTCGCTCCGATGACCTGGAAATGTGAAGGAATGGTGTTGCTTGGATGACCTAATAATGTAGAGATTCAAGATTAGTGGAATGTTTATTAAATATCTCATAAGATTTGCAGGCAAAAGAAGGTGTAATTTTGGGAATGTAAGGTCTGCTGCAGTTCTGGGGCATTTATTGCTCTGAACTCTCTGAAAGTGCTTGAGCCAATACCTTTTGAACACCGTCTTTTAATCTTCCTTCTTCCTTTGGGGTTACATTGTTCTGTAGTAACATACATCTTTCTTATCCCCACTTTCAGCTTTACTCAGAAGTGTGTACTTTTACCCAGCAAACTGGCTATCCTGAGCCTCTCAATGACTTCAAATTATGAGCCATGAAATTTCAGGATGGGGAGAGGTTTCTACTTCTCCTCTGGGGAAATTTCACTCTTCCAAGCCTATTCCCTATAGACAAGCTGGGTTGAACTGATTTTCCTAGGCTTTGATTGTCCTATTTTTAAAAAAAAATTCTGTTTGAATTGGAGCTATTTGAGTTAATTATTTCCTACTTTGGAAGAGGGGGAAAAACAGACTCCGTGGACTTTAATGACACAGGAATTTGATAATTCACTGCTATTATGGGCAAATTTGTGAGACTCAGCTCTATCAGAAGGACATCTATAACAGTGTCCTAGTTTCGGAGACAGAGGGTAGAGTGATGTGTCCCTGATCAGATGGGACACTTCGGAGAAGTCCACACCGCAGCTATTCTGTTCCCTAGGAAGTGTCTCTCATCTACTCTCATTCTGTTTGGGCTATTCTCCCTAAACTGTTAGAACATGCAGTGAGCAGCTGCTTCTCAATAGCTTCCAACCTTGTCATGAAATGCTTCTCCTTACTGTTACCACCTAATGAACTGCCTTCACTCCTCAGCTTGTTTGGAGTGTAGTTTACCAAACCTGTTCTCTTACGAAAGTGGCTCATCAAAGAGGAAAAGAAGAACCAGGAGGCACCAGAAAGTACTTGTCTCTGCCAGCAGCATCAGGGGTCATCCCCTTATATCTCCTATTTCATGCCCAGAGACCTCAGAAGAAAACTTCTGTTTTCCATTGCAGCAAAATCATGACTGATTCTAACTCCTGATACCCTAAGTCCTTCTAGGCCGCTCATGCTACTATCGGCCAACTTTCCCCATTAACTGGCTGGACCGTCAGTGCCGCAGAGAAACGCATCTTTCTTTGGAGGCATTCAGACACCATCATCGCACCAAAGAATAGTCTAGACCAGGTTTTGACGAGTGCTGTGTTTTAGTACCTAGCCCAGTGGTACAGTAACAGACTCCTGGTTTCTAGGACCAGAGCCCTGACAGCTGGTCTGCCTGCTCCGAAATGTTGATTGGTGGCAATCAAGGATTTAAGAGTCTCAAATAGTAGTGGCCTAAGAGTCTCAAATAGTAGTGCCCAAGCACTTCTCTCTACTGAAAGAAGTTTGCCTGTATGTAGGCATACACCTATTTTCTTCTTGGAAGTTGAGCATCAGCCTGTTCCATGAGTCTTTTTCAGTAATAAATAATCAGAGCCATAAATGTCACCTTACCATTTGAAGCTTCACAGTCAGAGGTGATACAGAACTAACTGCTGTATTTCTTCTTCCTCACATGATGCATCATCTTTGTAGCTGTGCATCGGGTCACCCCAAAGCTGTGCGGATAAACAGACCTGCCACAGTATGCACTTCAGCCTTTCTCTGTTTGTAACGATCAGTAGAATCACAGTGTTGGTGGTGTTTCTTCCATACTGCCTGACACTTGAAGAATCATACACACTTATTAGAAGCCAGATGGAAGTTCAGGTGGATAGCAAAAGGTGAATCTGGTGAGGATTTTGTTTTGCCTGCAAAACCAGAATTAGTGTGTTGTTGGGTGTCCCACCATACGCAAGAAGAAAAGAGCCAGAATGCATACAGTTTAAAGACAAAACATTTCACACCTTGAAGAAACATTACACTCTGGCATATACACAAAGATTGCTGAGAGATAAAGTAGAATAAAACAAACAAACAAAAATGCATAGCAGGAAAATAGCACTCACCTGACTCTGTGCTCTGGGTGCACTACCTTCAAAGCAGTTATTCCCAATCAATTAATGAAAAAAAGAAAATATGACTTTCAGGTATAGACAAGCCCTCTAGAGTCTTTTAATTCTGATTTTCCTAGCAATGTCTTTGCAGTCCTGTTCATTCCTTGTTTAGAACTTCAGTACTTCAGATGTTAGTAGATAAATTCACCTTGAGATGTTGCTTTTTTCCTCTCCAGATCACGATCTCGCTGTAACACCAGCAGTGGCAGTGAATCTGAAAATTCCAACAGAGAGCATCGAAAGAAGAGAAACAGGTAACCTTGATATATTTTGGACATGGAGACATGAAATACAAACAAATGGAGATGGACTTTTCTGAGATAGACCTAGAAAAAGGAATCCAACATGTTTTATACATATATAGTCCTCTTTAGGCAGTTTAAGATCCTTTTTTGAATAAGAGGAGAGATAATTGGCAACATACAACATAGGTGGATGCAATGAATGCATACCCTTCTGTTGCTTGAGAAGAGCTCATTAATAAACTGCAAAATCAAATATGGGGCACATTTACAAAAGACTTGCAATATTAATGCAAATAAAGTGAATAATGGGGATGACAAGATATTCACAGCGTATACTTCAATATCTCAAAAAGTTCAAGTGCAGAATTCTAGCAGAAAATAATCTTTTGAGGAGAAGAGTCAAAATATTTCAATAGATCTGAAACTCAGTATTGTTTTTAAATGCATGCATTTAATTTTATATTTTTTTTTCCAAAATGTAAAATGTGGGCTATAAATTAAAATGTGTACAGCGTCAGCTTTTAATAGGACAGCAGTAGTTAACGTCAAGTGATGCTAGCAAGTTTTGGTTTTTATATTCTATTTATTTTTCTTGTTGCTGATATGGAAAAGTTAGCATGACACTTGATTCATTGTAGCAAAAAATTTCCTTTAAAACTGCAACTTTCATGTTGCGCTCAAGATAAGTGCATTTGAGAGTTATTTATGAAAATGTATTTTTGAAAATGCACAAACAGAGCATAAGAGAACTGTCACTGGACAAAAGAGGAATTGTTTAAGGCAAATTTTCTAAGAAGCTGTCTGCACAAGCTGCCATAGTTTCCTGTTGTCTCACATGCAGTACTATGAGTGATAAATGATTTTCAGATATTTGGAAGCTTTTGAAAATAATTATATGCTAGATAGTGCTGCAGAAGTATGCAGTACAGTAATATTTTAAGCCTGACTTGCAGTAGTTAAAGAGACGCTAAAAAATCTTGTGACATACAAATGAGCTGGTATAAGCATAGCTGAGCCATGAGATTTCTTCAGAGTTTATTTAAATCAGAGCACAGTCTTGTGAGATACGTGGCTAACAATAACCTAGTGTGCATGGAAGATTCGTTTTCCAGGTGAACTCTGAATGAAATGCTAAGTATAGTTTCAGTGATCAGTAGGTAGATGGTAATTTGCATCCCTTTCTCTTAGAACACTCTTACCAGTTTTTTTTCTCTGGTGAAACTTCTTGTTCAGGGGGCTCCACAAGCAAGTGAAGGAAATTAGAGACTGACCATAAGAATGTTTTTAAGAGCTTCTTGAAATATAAAGATTGAATTGTAGGAAGGATTAAGTACTGCTTATCATTTTCTGAAGAGTAAAAGGGCCTTTACTAACCCTTCCTCACCTCATGGAAAAGTGCTTAAAATTAAAAAGAAAATAAATCAGTTTGTGTGGATTGTGTTTTTCACATTTTCAGAAATGTAAGATATATCAAAAATGTGAATGATGCGGCATCTTTTACTCTTAGGTGGTCACTTGAAATCAGACCAGATCAAAAGTCTTTATCAATGTTAAAGTAAACAAGTACTAAATGAGCTGGAGGTCGGAGACTTGCTCCTTGTCATCAGGTGCAGGAAAACCACGAGTCATAATGAATTTCTGTATTTTGTTAGCAGCCTCAGCAGGAATATAACTGCACAGGCACTGAATCGCTTTCCTGTTAGCAGAGGTGCGCCAGCCCTAACAGGGTTAAATGAGACAATATATTGAGGCTGGCAACTGCTGTTACTCAAGTTTACCTGTTGCATGGATTAATACTAATTTATTTCCCAGTACGATAATCAAATCCCTGGCACAAGAAGACACAAAGTTGTATTGTTTTATTGGAATAAAATGACTGAATACTCACATTATCCAAAAGAATCTGCTTCTGATCATAGAAGAGTAGAATTTATGGTTTGCATGAGAATAGATCACTGTGGACTATTTATCAGATAAAAACAAATTATCAGAGAAAAGCAGAAATGCAGATGAGAACTTCTGAACACTGCAGAAAGGTTAGGGAGAAACTCTTTACTTGATCTTAATCAGTCTTTGAGGTTTCACTCCATCATACGAATGTTTTATCCTAAGCAGATGTTCATATGAAATTAAGGAAGAACCTATGATATGAGCATATTTCAATCATGGAAGAAACCTATATGCTTTTTTTAATGCTGTGGTCAAAATTTATTGTGTGGATAAAAATACAGTAAACTGGTAGACAACATGTACAGGAGCATAGTCTTCCACTTGACTATACTTAAAAGATACGTCTGGTTAGAGTCACAGAATGACTGAATGGTTGAGGTTGACAGGGTGCTCTGGATGTCATCTGGCCCAACTCCCCTGCTCAAGCAGGGATACCTAGAGCCAGTTGCCTGAGACCAGTCCCAGCCAGCTTTTGAGTATCTCCGAGGATGGAGACTCCAGCACCTCCCTGGGCAACCTGTGCCAGTGCTTAGTCACCCTCAATGTGAAAAAGTGCTTGTTGGTGTTGAGAGGGAACCTCCTGTGTTTCAGTCTGTGCCCATTGCCTCTGGTCTTGTCACTGGGCAACACTGAAAAGAGCCTGACTATGTCCTCTTTGCACCCTTCCTGCAGGTGTTTATACACACCAATGAGATCCCCCTGAGCCTTCTCTTCTCCAGGCTGAACATTCCCAGCTCTCTCCACCTTTTCTCGTAGGAGAAATGCTCCGGTCTCTTCATTGTCTTGGTGGCCATTTGCTGGACTCTGTCCAGTATGTCTGTGTCTCTCTGTACCAAGGAGCCCAGAACTGGACACAGCACTCCAGATGCGGCCTCACCAGTGCTGAGTAGCAGTGAAGGATCACCTCCTTCGACCTGCTGGCAATAATTTGCCTAATGCAGCCCAGGATACCATTTGCCTTCTTTGCTGCAAGAGCATGTTGCTGTCTCATGTTCACCTTGGTGCCCACTGGGATCTGCAGGTCCTTTTCTGCAAAGCTGCTTTCCAGCTGGGCAGCCCCCAGCATCTACTGGTTCCTGGAGTTGATCTTCCCAAGGTGCAGGACTTTGCACTTCCCCTGTTGAACTGCATGAGGTTCCTGTTGGCCCATTTTTCCAGCCTGTCCAGGTCCCTGTGGATGGCAGCATGACCCTCTTGTGTATTGGCCTCTACTCCTATTTTGGTGTCATCGACAAACTTGCTGAGGGTGCACTTTGCCCCGTCATCCAGATCATTAATGAAGATGTTAAACGGGATTGGACTCAGTATTGACCCGTGGAGTACACTGCTAGTCACTGGGCTCCAACTAGACTTTGTGCCTCTGGGCACCATCCTCTGGGCCTGGCTGTTCAGCCAGTTTTCAGTGCCCCTCACTGACTGTTCATCCAGCCCATACTTCAACAGCTTGTCTATGAGGATCTTGTGAGGAAACAGCATCGAAAGCCTTCCTGAAGTCCAAGTAGACAATATCGACTGATCTCCCCTCATCTACCAAGCCAGTCATTTTGTAGTAGAAATTTCTCAAGTTGAAAAAGTATAATTTCCCCTTGGTGAATCCATACTGATGGCTCCTAGTTACTTTCTTGTCCTTCACATGTCTGGAAATGGTTTCCAGGATTAGCCGCTCCCTCACCTTTCTGGAGATCGAGATGAGACTGACCAGCTTGTAGCTCCCCAGGTGTGCCTTCTTGCCCTTCTCGAAGACATGAGTGACATTTGCTTTCCCCTAGTCTTTGGGCACTTCTGCCAATCGCCGTGATTATTCAAAGATCATTGAGAGAGGCCTTGCAATTGCATCAGGCAGCTCCCTCTACACCTATCGGCCTCTGGATTTACATATGCCCAGTTTGCTTAAGTCTTCCCTGACCTGATCCTCTTCCACCAAGGTTATGTCTTCCTTGTTTGAGCCTTTCCTCCTGGTCTCTCAGGCTTGGGATTGGCAGGTCTTGTGATTTAAGACTGTGGTGAAGAAGGCATTCAGTACCTCAGCCTTTTGCGTGCCCTGTGTCACCAGGTCCCCTGCCTCATTCAGCTGTGGCCCCTATACTTCCTTTTGTCACGTGTCTACTTAGAGAAGGCCACTTTCTTGCCTTTGATATCCCTGGCCAGATTCAATTCCATTTGAGCATTGGCTTTCTTAACCTCATCCCTACGTTACCTCATTGCCATTGGGTAATGTTTCTGTATTCCTCTCACATCAGCTGCCCCTGCTTCCACCCTCTGCATGCTTCGTTTTTGTGTTTGAGCTTTGCCAGGAGATCCTTGTTCGTCCATGCAGGCCCCCTGGCATTTTTGCCTGTCTTGCAGCTAGCTGGAATGGACTTCTCTTGAGCTTGGAGGAGATGATCCTTAAATATTAACAAGCTTTCTTGGGCCCCTTTTCTCCTCCAGGGCCTTATCCCACTAGGCTTTTCCACAGAGATCTTTGGAGAGGCCAGAGCCTGCTCTTCTGAAGGCCAGGGCTGTGATCTTGTTGCTTGCCCTCCTTGCTCCTCTCAAAGTCCTGAATTCCACCATCTCATGGTCACTGCAGCCAAGGCTGCCTTTGGCCTTCACATCCCCAGTGAGCCTCTCGTTGTACATTGTACCTAACTGATAACTTTACCCTCAAATATTTTGAATGAGATTTCAAGAATCAAGTCTTCAGAGTTGCTTGTCTTAAGAGAATTTATCATTGCATAAACGTAGCTTGCTATCGTATCAGCTGAAATGGGTAAAAACATCTCTTAAGTCAACAGATGAGCGATGATAGTCTTATGACTCTGTTTTACCTTAAAGTCTTCCTGTAAACAATGTCTAATTTGTTGCTGTGATAGCTATTAATCTCCATTGGATTTATTTCACATACCAGTTACAAGGATTTTTGTTGTATATGACATAAATCAACTTGTTCCTTTGTGGGAGCAAAAAGTGAAAAGAATGAAAGTAAAGTTGTAATGGACTTGGAGTACAAGGGCAGCACATTTTTGTGAAAAATATTTTTAGATAGAAGTAAGTCTAGGTTTTGAGTTAAATTTCTTTCTACTTTGTTTTGGTGGGTTTTTTTGTCATATCTGTGGTCAAAGAGCTGAAGATTTTGCCCAAAAATAATTTTGATTTGATCATTGCATCTAAATAATGTATTTTGTGTATTTGTGTAGAGATTGTGTTACCTTGGTCATCCTTTACATTGTTAAATGTGAGCATCGTACCTTTCCTTGCAAAATGAATGCTTTATTGCTTCGTATCTCCATCTAATAGACTTCTGCCGTGGTAAACGGTACTTTGACTGTGCTGACGCTCCTTGTTTTAATAGCTGCCATGCTACTTTATATGTTTAGATTTTTGGTATTTTGCTCAAATTAAATAGATAAATAACATACAACAGAGTTCATCATTGTTACAACAAGTAGAAGAAAGGAGGCAGAGTAGAAATATGAAATACTTGGAGGTAAATAAATGCATCACTTAGGACTGTACTTGCCACACAGCAGTAGATGCTAATCTACTAGATTAGTAGAATGGACCGGAGCAGAAATGATGTATTAACTCCCTTAACAAGAGGTCATTTATGGTCAGTGTGGAAACATGGCTTCAAACACAGTGGTGCAAGATCTGATGTGCTCTGTGCCAGACCATGGACCTCGTGCTGTACTGCATTGTGTAGGTTTCCTGAGAAGAATGAGTAGCTCTTGATTATTTTATGGCAAACATCTGAATGCCTCCTTCAGAGCACAGCTGTCTGCTCGACCTGTTAGGAGTTGTTGTTTGGGAGAGATGGGGGAGGTACTGGCAAGTGGGCAGACCCACCACCCATGGCAGCAGCGCT